AGGCTGAGCACCCCCAGGCTCCGCACGCTTAGACGCAGCAACCCCCGGGCTCCGCACTTGCAGGCTCAGCACCTCCAGGCTCCTCACGCTCAGGCTCCGCAACCGCATGCTCAGCACCGATAGGCTCCTCGCGAACAGGCTCAGCACCCCCAAGCTCCGCACGCTCAGGCTCAGCACCCGCAGGCTCAGCACCCCCAGCAGCACCAGAGTCACCAGTGACCTCGACAGGCTCAACCAAGGGGAGTGGGTCTACCTGAGACACACCTGAAGGAGCAGGACCCTGAGGGGGGAGGAGGTCTACCGGAGGGGGACCTGGAGCAAGGAAGAGCGGCGGGGGAGGGGGAAGGGTACGGTAGGGGAAGTGACGGTAAAAGGGAACCGACTCGTCAAACGTGACGTCCTGAGAGGACAGAACACGTCGCGAGGTGGGGTGGTAAACTGCGAGCCAGGCGCATCAAGGGGAAAACCAAGGTAGACACAGGGAACGGTGCGGGCGGAGAGCTTGTCCGTAGAGGTATCGCGAACAAAGGCACGAGATTCCCAGACCCGGAACATTGACGCATCGCCAACCTCTCCCGTCCAACGCAGTGTCGGCGAGGTCTCCGGCAAGGAGACACGGGGCCAGAGGTTGAGCTGATGCGCACCGTACCGGACCGCAAACGGCCATAGAAAATGGAGGGCAGCCGCATGGATCATGGAGGTACGAGCGACCTCCATGACTAGGCCAATGCAGCGCTCAGCAACCCCATTCTGTTGTGGAGAGGCCGGAAGCGTGAACGACTAGGTGATGCCCTCCCCACGTCAAAAGTCCCGCAAGAGGTTGGAGGAAAACTCACCACCTCTGCGAGAGTGCAGACGCAGGCAGGAAGGTCCGTGTCGAACCGCTCGCGGAGCTGGAGACGGACAGCGCGGATCCAAGGAATCAAGACATTAGGGACCTCACCCTTACTGCGCAAGGGGAAGACCGTGGTGTAACGCGAGTAGTCGTCAACAACCAGCAGAAAGTATCGCTCGCGGCCCTGTTTCTAGACGCGGGCTGGGCCCCACACGTCCAAGTGGAGAGTCTGCAGGAGAGCAGTCGTCAGGGGAAACGAGGAGGAGTGGGGAGCGGCGCGCTGCCGCCCCTCGACACAGGGAAGGCAGGGAGGGGCAGGCGAGGGTGGGAGGGGAGGCAGAGACATGGGAAGACCAGAGACAAGGAGACGGGAGTGCATGCCACGGATGCGTGGGAAAGAGGGGTGACCAAAGCGGTGGTGCCAAAGGAGAGTCTGGTGCGACAGGGCGCAACACGAGCAGGAGGCTGCTAGCTGACATGACGCGGACGCAGACGCAGCTACCTGAGGAGGCGCAGTAGTCAGTGTGTACAGGCTCGACCCAGGCCGACGAGTGAACGTGGCTAGGTGACGGCCCGTCCGTGCACACGTGCAGATCGCGACACGCTGTCCCCCAGGAGTAAAGGTACTAACCCATTCATCCTGAAGGACGGCGTTGCTCACCAAGTTCGTAGAGAACGAGGGGAGGTGAAGACCTGACAGTGAGCCAGACGGAACTGCCGGACACGGGAGAACAGTAGAGGAACGTGCAAGAACCGGTCCCCAAGAGGGATCAGCCAGAGAGACTGCAACTGGTGCTACGAGTGGTGTGACTGTGGTGCTGTTGCAAAAGAAGCAATGGGAAGCACCTAAGTCAAGCGTGAAGGTGTGCAAGGCCTCAGCAGGCGCAGTACCAGAGAGAGCAGACTCACCAGCACCTAGAGCAGACTCACCAGCACCTAGAGCAGACTCACCAGCACCTAGAGTAGACTCACCAGCACCTAAAGAGCAGCAGCCGCTATACCAGGGTCGGGTGGCACACACAGGTAACAGTCACCCCAAGTACTATTTTTCAAAGCATACATGGCAGTGAGGATAGTGTCATAGTCTAGAGCAAAGATATCCCCCTTGTTCCTAAGCAGCTCTAGCCAGCGGGGGAGCTCAGCCTCGTCGCCAAACACTCCACGCCAGGCGTCGCTCAGACAGGCGAAGCAATGAGCCTGTGTATAACCAAGTGTCCTGCAAGTCTGACCAGCCTGATCACCTGTGCGAATGACGTACGGACAGCGGACAGTACTCCAAGTCCCCCCACTCTGAGCGTACCACTCATGAAGCTGCTGGGGCGTAAGGGTTGGGCGGCGCGACTCGGCCTGGGCGGCGCAAGCAGCAGGGCGCGACGCACGGGCTGCAGCAGGGCGCGACGCGCGGGCAGCAGGGCACGGCGCGCGGGCTGCAGCAGAGCGCGACGCGCGGGGCAGCAGGGCGCGACGCGCGGGCTACAGTAGGGCGCGACGCGCGGGGCAGGAGGGCGCGACGCGCGGGCTGCAGGAGGGCGCGACGCGCGGGCTGCAGCAGGGCGCGACGCACGGGGCAGCAGGGTGCGATGCGCGGGCTGCAGCAGGGCGCGACGTGCGGGGCAGCTGGGCGCGACGCGGTGGCTGCAGCAGGGCGCGACGCACGGGGCAGCAGAGCGCGACACGTGGGCTGCCGTAGGGCGCGACACGCAGGGCAGCAGGGCGCGACGCGCGGGCTGCAACAGAGCGCGACGCGCGGGGCAGCCGTAGGGCGCGACGCGCAAGGCAGTACGGCGCGACGCGCAAGGCAGCAGGGCGCGACGTGCGGGCTGCAACAGGGCGCGAGCTGTAGCAGGACGCGGGGCAGGGCAGGGCGTGCGCGGGGCAGCGCGACGCGGGGCAGGGCAGGGCGTGCGCGGGGCAGCGCGACGCGGGGAAGAGCAGGGCATACGCGGGGGAGCGCGGCGCAAGGCAGGGCAGGGTGCGCGCTGACGGCGCAGCGCAGGGCAGGGCGTGGGGTAACGCGGTAACCGCAGTCGGTCACTAGGTACTGGTGGGCCCGAAAAAAAAGTTCCTACGGACCTACTGCTCTGAAACCATGTCATAATCTAAGGGTTCATTCTGGTGTCGACATTTGTGTCTCAATGCCCCTTTTCCCGAGTCGTGTCGAAACATTTTGTCAATCTCGCGTCACAAAAAATGAATGTATCGCAATACTAAGCGACCAGGCGAAATGTAAAGTTTTGCGCATTTGATTGGGTGATGCAAATGACTATACATTCGTTTCTTCAACCGATTGGCTGTGACGCACGAGACTTTTTCCCGCGCGAAATTGACATTGTGGACTGTCCAGGTGCATTGACATTGGGGACCGCGTACGATTAAAAAAAAAAGGCCGGGTCGAATTGCAATTCGTCAGCGACGTCAGCGCATTTCACGCTGATCAATCAAAAATACAGTAATGGTCGCTGAAGCGCGACTCGCATTTGAGACACACTAAGTTTATGTTGTTTTTAGGTGTCACAAAGCGATTGAGACACAAATGTCGACACAGGAATGCACCCTAATGAGTAGGAATTATTGCATTGACATCAAACTGAGTACAAGTATAACCCTAATTGGGTTGTACCCCATATAGGCTACCCCACTACAGCATGTGAAAGTAAGCAGTAGAAGAAGAGGGCGCCATAGCTAGGAAAGCCCTAGCTAGGCAAGAAACAGTTTAGGCAAAGAAGGAGGAGTTGCACTAGCAAGAATGAGGATACAAATAGCAAACCCTAGAAGGGTTGTACTCGCTATAGAGCACCCCACTACAGGCTAGAGCATAATATTCTGACACAGCATACACAACATAAGTAGCATTGTAGTTTGACATGGTCTCGTGGAAGTCGACCAAGACTGTCGAATTCCTTGCCCAAGTCGGCATCGACCACTGGCAGCAGCTAGAAGTACCTCCTGCACATCCTATTGTAAAGTCGGCTTTGCCCAAGCGAGGTGGGGCCATTTTCCGTCAACAGGGTGATGGGCGTGAGGGAGAGGAGTTTGGAGGCAACAATGCAAGAGATGTTAATGGTGGTGGTGGTGACAACAATAGTGGTGCTGATGCTGGTGGGAACTAGGGTGATGGTCGTAGCGATGATATTGATGGTGGAAATGTTGATGGTAGTGGTTGTGGTGGTAGCATCGGAAATGCATAGATCATCAAGGAACACAAGGTTCGGAGAGAAGTGGTTGTGCCAAAATCGGCATGGGACAACGAAGTGGGAATTGCGGCATATGACAGGGTGAATGAGCAGTGTCTCTTGACCACCCTACTCAGCATGGCGGAGCAGAGAGGCTCCTGCAGAGCCTCTAATAGAGGTTACCCGCAGAGCCCACCCCATAGGAGGACCTAAAGGCGGTGCGGGCCTGGGTGGGAGAGAAGGCGGACTGGACTTACAACCCCGCTCAGAAGAGGTGCACGAAGGGTAAAAGGTGTGGCCACTACACGCAGGTGGTGTAACGAGATACCAATCGTGTGAGCTGCGCCTCAGCACGGTGCCCCAATGGCTCCGGCATGTGGGTGTGTGACAACTCGCCTCAAGGAAATTATAGGGTGAATATCCTTATAGTTAATCCGTGCTGGAGAAAGGGTGTGCAGGTGGCGAAGCTACGAATCAAGGGCACGGAGAGCGAACCATGTAGAGAGAACACATTGAGGGCAGGGCATTTCTGTTGTTTTCTATTATAGAATTCTATAGTCTGGATTATGATTCCACATGAAATCATGTTCAGATTCTTTGATCCTTTCCCTTCACATTTATTTGGATCTCTTGAGTCACGTACATTGTGAAATCTCACTTACTGCCAATATATCACTAAGCAACACACATAAAACATATCTGGAAACAGTAGGTGCACTGCACATAGTACGCATTCTGAAGAAGTATGGGTACAGTACATGTTTCAAGAGCACACATGCAGACACATTTGTTCTGGGTCAATAAAAAAACAGAAGCCACTCGTTACAAATACCAGCTGACTGTCACAGTTTTCCCCACACATACACCTGCCACACTCCCCACTCCCAGAGATAGCCCCCATCCCCCCAAAACTCTGTGGCATACTTCCTGTCTGGAACCGTCCTGTCCTGACTTACCACACACCCACTCGGCAGATTTCACTGGCAGGCAGTCTAGAAAGGGGTTTGGCCAACGAAGTTGCCTGGGGGCGAGTAGTCGCAGACCCACATGCCGGAGCCATCGGGGCACTGAGCAGAGGCGCAGCCGACATGAGTGGTGTCGCGCCACACCACCTGCGTGTAGTGCCCACACATCTTGCCGTCCGCACACCCGTCGGGAATGGGGCTGGGGGTCCAGTCCGCCTTCTCCTCCACCCATGACTGCACAGCCCCACGGTCCTCCTGGGGGGTGAGAGCAGCGGGTGACAGCCAGTAGAGGTTCTGCCCGAGCCCCTCTGCTCCGCCGTGCTCCAGAGGGCACCCTTTGGACGCCAGCTCGTTCGCCCACTCCTGTGCCGTTGCTGCCACTCCGTCGTCCCATGCCAGATCCGGCACACCCACTTCCTGCCGTGCCTTGTTGTGCTCCTCCAGAATCCCTGCAATGTCGATGCTGCCGCCATTTCCACCACCCCCGCCGCCATTTCCACCGTCCCCAGCGCCGTTCCCGCCGTCCCCACCGCCATCCCCGCCGTCCCCAGTGCCGTTTCCGCCGTCACCCCCGCCATCCCCGCCGTCCCCAGTGCCGTTTCCGCCGTCACCCCCGCCGTTCCCGCCGTCACCACCGCCATTTCCGCCGTCACCACCGCCATTTCCACCGTCGCCAGAGCCCCCAGCACCGTTCCCGCCATCCCCAGCACCGTTCCCGCCATCCCCAGCACCGTTCCCGCCATCCCCAGCACCGTTCCCGCCATCCCCAGCACCGTTCCCGCCATCCCCAGCACCGTTCCCGCCATCCCCACCATCAGGGCAACCATCTCCATTAGAGTCACCGCCGTTGTCACCACCACAGTTGTAATCACCGCCGTTGTCGCCACCACCGTTGTAATCACCGCCGTTGTCGCCACCACCGTTGTAATCACCGCCGTTGTCACCACCACCGTTGTAATCACCGCCGTTGTCACCACCACCGTTGTAATCACCGCCGTTGTCACCACCACCGTTGTAATCACCGCCGTTGTCACCACCACCGTTGTAATCACCGCCGTTGTTGTTATAGTCACAATAGGCTTGAATGTGCCTAAAACGAAAGATAGAGAGCACAGACGGATTTCTGCACAGCGGCTTCAAACGTTGATAGCGTTCTGCTCACAGCTGCAAATGACTTGATTCAAATTGGATCTGGAGCGTCTTCACGTCGTCTACAATTAGCAATTTAGATTGCACGATTTGATAAAGAATTGACGACACAGCGTCGGTTTGAACGAACGGTACTATGGCAGCCACTATAGTCTTAGAACACAAGATAGGAAGAGTTACGAGTTGGGAATGACTCCCAGCTCCTACAAACCCCAAGAGCCGAGGTACAGTGATGTGGAACAGTGCCACACTGTCCCCAACCACGAAGGGTCTCGAAACTACCCTTCACTAGGGCCCACACCAAGTGAAATGTTACACTACACAAAGTAATGTAACTATCTTCAATATCTTGAGGTGTACCCTTTTGGCAAGCTTCGAAATCACTTGAGGCTTGACACCAAGGCTCGGGCTCTTCATCACAAACTCATCCTTGAGTTCTTGATGGGTCTGCTGCACACACCTGTGACACGCCGAACGTTCGACACAGGACAAAATAGAAACCGCGCACGACAAAATAGAAACCGCGCGCGAGACACAAACGATCGCGTAACACGCGTCTAGCGATAACTCGCTATTGACTTGACACACACACTCGACATCATGACTCAACATTCACACACAATTATAAGCATGAAATATATATTATCCCATGCCCTCATACCATTCCATACACACACACATTCACGCACACGGACAACAAGCCGAGTGCAAACCGTAGGGTTGCACCAACAGTTGTCACCACCACCGTTGTAATCACCGCCGTTGTCACCGCCACCATTGTAATCTCCGCTGTTGTCTCCACCGTTGTAATCACCTCCGTTTTCACCACCATTGTAATCAGCGCCGTTGTCACCACCATTGTAATCACCGCCGTTGTAATCACCACCATAATCACCCGCTGCGTTAGTGTGTGCAGATGCCTTCCCCATCATTCCATGATTCGCACCATCATCATGCTGATAGCTGTCGAGGCGATTAGCACCCTGCGTGGAATTGTGCGTGTGGCGCTCGTCGCTGGAACGGTGATGGATCGCCACGTCTTCGGGGCTGGCTGCGCGGAATGCGTGGTTGTCGGTGAATGCTCCGCCGTTCCCGCCACCGCCATGGAGAGAACCACCGCTTCGACGCTGATTCGCTGCTGCATCACGGAGGTCGATGCTTCCAAATCTTTGAGAGCCCTGATTCACGGCGTTACGTGCAGCGAGAGAAGCTCTAGGGGTTGGGGCGTATTGGACGGCGTGACGAGCGGCGTGAGGGGCGTCGGTTGCCACGCGACTGGCAGCAGTGTGCTGACTCCAACTCGGAGTCGCGTGGGAACCAGCAGCGCCGCCTCTGGCAGAATACACGAGGGGCTCTGACACCCTCTGTGCGAACGGCGCAGCCTTGGCGTTAATTCCGTGAGGCGGGTTGGGCCTGTTCGTCTCAGTTGCTGCGGCATTCCACGAGACAGCGTCGCCGGAGTCGCGAACGAGAGCACGTCGCCAGGGATGAGCGGCAGTGCAAGAGCTGATGACGAAAAAGAGAATGAGAGGAACCGCCACCAGCTGTGATTTCACGAGGGTCCCCATAGAGCCGCAATACATGCAGATCAAATCAGCGTGGCGAGTCCGCAGTTCTATCGCACTGAAAGAGTTGGTAGGTGGGTGAGACCAGCTGTTGGGGGTGCTGGAGTGCTGGTTTGTGTTGTCGAACAAACCTGGGCCCTGACTGCTCAATTTGTACAAACTTTGGTCCGACATGCGGCTCGTTCAGCCGACGGGTTACCGTGAAGGGACGGAGGGTTCGTGAGTCGAAGTCAGAATTCTTCGGAAACCTTTCACGTGATGCCGACGGGTTACCGTGTCGCGTCGCGTGGTGTGAACGGGAAGGGACGGAGCGTTCGTGAGTCCAAGTCAGAATTCTTTGAAGTCAACGCCAGAGTCTGGTCCGCTTCAAGCTTGGAATAACGAAGGTGAGAAAGTTTCAGACCAATCATGCTGAAGGTGTTACAGCGTTTGTTACTATCGGTAGATGAATGTAAGGAATTTTCCCGAATTCCTTATCGGGGTTGACTGCTTCGCGTACAACCCGATTTTCGGAGTTCGCACGTTCAGCCGATTTCAACGCTGCCGAGGCTCCTCGCGTCGCCTTCGGCATTTCCATCGCCAAACCTGCACCCAACCTCGCTTGTCCGAGGTTTCCTCCTAGCTAGGCTAGCCTACATTAGTCTGTGCATTCATTGTATTCGCAGTTCATTCAGTTACAGCCTCGTTATTCGTTTACCTGCGCACTCTCTTTTACAACTCATAACACCTGGTATCAGAGCTACTTTCCTAGTTCACCCCGCTTTTCGAGGGTAGTTTGGTGGCACGGGTGTGGTTGGTTTAGTGACTACACGACGGTTGGCCGCAGGGATTGTTAATTCAATCCTGCCCGACTCCGATAGTTCGTGTTTTCACTTGCTGGGAGGCCACGGGTACCCGACTGCCCACCAGACGGAGTGCTAGGCACATGGATCAGGAGGCTGTCAACCGGCTGATGGCGCAAGTGGCAGAAATGAAACAGGGCATGGAATCATTAATGGCGGAAGTGACAACGTTAAAGGAGGAAAACGCCGAGCTACGCCAGACGCGAGGTGAAGCGCGTCAGGGGTCGCCTGTGGATGAAGGCGAGGGCAACAGTCAAGCGATGAGCAATCCGCTGGACGCGCTCACACGTGACTTCGAAGAAGAAGACAGGCAGCGAGCGGCAGCAGCGCCAGTTGCAGTAACGACGATCAAGATCAAGCCCGTCAACCCGCCCCCGTTTAATCCTACGGACAAGACGGTTACGGTAAAAGGGTGGCTGTTTGGGGTCGAAGTCTTTTTCACTGCAGCCGGAGTTAATGACGACGCCACGCGTATTAATTACGCGGTTTCGCTTCTTCGAGGTGCAGCGCTTGAATGGTGGCGCCGAACCTTGGAAACAGGGACGCCGACAGGTGTGACACATGCGGCAGACGGGACATCTACAGTGGTTAATCAAGTGGCAGAACCAATCTTCGGTGTGACCAAGATACGCACGTGGAAGGAGTGGTGCGCAGCCTTACGAGATCGCTTCGAGCACGTATCCGCCTCGGAGCAAGCTCGCATGAAGCTGCGTGCATGGTCGCAGATGGCTTCTGTCCAAGACTACACGGCGTCATTTATGGGCTTCGCCGACCAGATCGACGACATGTCGGAAGCAGAGCGGTTGGATAAGTACGTCAGCGGCCTTAAATACAAAATACAGTTTGAGGTTCGCAGAGGCCGCCCGACATCGTTCCTTGAAGCAGTACGGCTGGCGGAGTCAACTGATGCGCTGATGCAGTACGCGAGAGCAGCTTCCAGGGATGGGAGAAGCTTTCGTGGCCAGACCCATCGGGCCACGATCAACGCCGTCCATACACCCGACCGCCCTCCTAAGGGTCCATGTTTTCGGTGTGGGAAGGTGGGTCACTACAGGAAAGACTGCCAGGAGAAAATGCCGCTGACAGGGGCTGACAGGGGAAGGAGCAGGGAAATGGGAAGAGTCAGTAATTAGCGGGCCCTTTACTGACTGTGCTCCGTCGCCCGAACACCATCATCCCCACCGAGTCGTGGTTCCGATTCATGCAATCGATCGCACTCGGCCGAATAATGGGGATACACATGTGGATCACCATGTGCTGGTCGCTGGCAAGGTGTTAAAAAATAACTTGAAAATGTTCGTCGATGGGGGGGCCAGCCATAGCCTCTTCAACTTGGCGAGCGCAAAAAGATGCAAGCTGCAACTTGACAGGTGTCTGCCCGAAATCGACGCACGCCTCGTGGATGGGACGCCTCTGGCGATAACGAAAGAAACGCGGACGGTCAGGATCGAATGCGGCGACGATTTCGGCTTCAGCATGAAGTTCCTTGCGACGACGTTGGACGGCTGCGACGTACTGCTTGGACGTGATTGGCTGCGACGACACAATCCCGTCATCGACTGGACAACGGGATCATACTGCATCAGCAAGCACGGGGGGCTAATTAAGCTGCCTGCATGGACACCTGACTACATCCAAGCTCCGTGCGTCAAAGCTATAACTATAGCTCGCCACTTCAACAAGGGCGCGCAGCTGTTCGCTGTCTGCTTACGCGAGTTGGCAGTCGACACCGACGGAAAGGACATTGAGAAGCTGTGTGCAGCTGTACCTCCGGATTTAGCGGAGCTGATTCGACAGTACCCCGACATTTTCCCGGACGACCTGCCACCTGGGCTGCCACCCGAGAGACCCGGAGACCATAAAATCCAGCTGGAGCCTGGCGCACAACCAACTGTTCGCACACAGTGGCGGTTGACCCAGCCGGAACTCGAGGAGCTGCGCCGACAAATTGACGCACTGTTGGAGAAAGGGTTCATTCGGGCCAGCACCTCCCCGTTCGTGGCACCGATCCTGTTCACTCCGAAGAAGGACGGTGGGCTTCGCATGTGCATCGATTATCGCGCGTTGAACCGGGTGACCATCAAGTCTCGCTACCCAATCCTACGCACCGACGACCTTCTTGACCAGCTTCGCGGCGCTCGCTACTTCTCGAAAATCGACTTACGTGGCGGTTACCACCAGATTCGGGTCTTCGCCGACGATTGTCACAAGACCGCGTTTCGCACACGCTACGGGAGTTACGAATTCACGGTGATGCCTTTCGGCCTCACGAACGCGCCTTCGACATTTCAACTGACCATGAACAGGGTTTTTCGGGATCTTCTAGACCGTTGCGTCATCGTCTATTTGGACGATATCCTCATTTTTAGCAAGACCAGAGAGCAGCACCTCCGTGACCTGGATGCAGTGTTTAAGCGGCTGCAGGAGAACCGACTCATCACCAAGGGCTCTAAGTGCGAGTTTTTTAAGCAAGAGTTGGAATTTTTGGGGCACGTCATCTCGCGCGACCGCATTAAAATCGACCCGGCGAAAATCAAGACCATACAGGAGTGGAAGTCCCCGACGAATGTCACGGAACTCCAGAGTTTTCTCGGATTCGTGAATTACGTCAGGCGGTTTATCCCAAATATGGCGGGGATAACCGGCCCGCTAACCGACCTGCTGCACAAGGACAGGAATTTTGTGTGGGGGGAGGAGGCAGAAGCGGCTTTCCAGGAACTCAATAATTTTCTCGTTTCCCCTCCTGTACTGCGCATCGCCGACCCATCGAAGCCGTTCGAAGTCGTCACCGACGCCTCAGATTTCGCCATCGGAGCTGTGCTACTCCAAGATTTCGGGAACGGGTTGCAGCCGATAGCCTACGAATCACGCAAGCTGCAGGCAGCCGAACGCAACTACCCGATCCACGACAAGGAGATGCTCGCCATCATCCACGCGTTTAAATTGTGGCGATGCTACCTGACGGGCGCCGACGTCACTGTTCGCACGGACCACAAGTCCCTCCAGTACCTGCGAGCCCAACCCAACCTCAACCCGCTGGACTACATGGAGAGCCACTTCACCTACCGCATCACGTACAAAAAAGGGGCGAATAACATCGCCGACGCCCTGACCCGACCGACGATACAATCCGCTGCAGTACTCATCACCCACTCGAACCCGTTACTTACCGGACTATTTACCCACGGCTACACTACTGACCCATTCTTCACGACGGGAAATCATCAGCAGGCTACGACGCAGAAAGGGGACTATTACCTAAAAGCCGGAACCGACCGGATTTGGGTCCCCGCTTACAGGCTGCTGCGTGAACTCCTTATCCAAGAGGTCCACGATTCTAACTTCTCCGGACACTTCGGGGTTGATAAAACCCAGAAATTACTGCACCGTCAATATTACTGGCCTGCCTCCTCTAACGACGTGCAGCGATATGTGTCCTCATGCAGGGTGTGCCAAGCTATGAAATCGACACGTCAACGACCAACTGGACTGCTGCAACCCCTCGAGCCACCCGAACGACTGTGGCAGCAGGTGACAATGGATTTTGTGACGGGGATGCCAGCTGGGCCGTCCAGCAACGACGCAGTGCTCGTCGTCGTCGATCGCTTCACGAAAATGGCGCACTTCGCACCATGCCGAACGACAATCACAGCCGAAGAAACTGCGCGCCTCTTCATCTCAACGGTCGTGCGACTGCACGGCATCCCTTCGGCGATCATCAGCGACCGAGACCCGAAGTTCACATCAAAGTTCTGGAAGGAGACGTGGGCGCAGTACGGCACGAAGCTACAGTTCTCATCGGCATATCACCCACAGACGGACGGTCAAACCGAGCGGACCAATCAGACCATGGAGCAGCTGATCAGGACAAACTGCCCCGACCCTGCCCGCTGGGAAGACTCCCTCGCAATGTTGGAGTTCGCTTTCAACAACGCACCGTCCAGCACGACTAATCACTCCCCGTTTTTCCTGAATTACGGGATGGACCCGACAGTTCCTACGGCAACCACTCTCGACAACCCGGTCCCGAGGTCACAGACTTTCGAAACGGAACTTCAGGAAGTCCGAGAAAAAGCCGCAGACACAATTCGCGAGGCGAATATTACTTCCCGCAAATACACCGACCTTCTACGTCGGGAACTCGTCTTGACCACTGGGCAA